TTATGTATTTCAATAAAAGTTTAAAATTTTAATTAAAATTTTAGAATAAATTCAGCAGTTCAATACAGGATTTTGCGGTAAAATAATAGTAGAGAAAAGTTATTTTCAATCCGGATGGCCAAGAAAAATGCTAATCATTGCTGACAATGATTAAGGTGTAATTAATAAATCGAGACATTTTTTTAGCTAGTCCAAACAGAAAAAGAGCAATAGCATAATTGTTTGACAAGTACTGAAAATATAATTTAACAAAGAGGAAAGAAAATTGCGGGATAGGGGGCCAAAAGGAGTTACCCGGGAGAAGAATGTGAACAGGCAGAAGGTTTTGATTAGCACAAAGACTACCCTTAGAAGTATCAGAAACCTCCCCCTTGACCATTGCATGAGGATTTCTTCTCTCCTCTCCACAGAAAGCTCTGAAAACTTGTGGATAAGCGGCCATTCCCTTGAAAGACAAAGCCTGCCACAGAGCAACAGGGTTCCCAATCTGAAGGAAAGAATTTTTAGGACTAAGCTAACCAGTGATACAGCTGGGGGTAGACTCCTCTTCACCAACATCTCTGCTGTCTGTTTAAAATTGGAAACATATACATTAGTTAAAATGATAAATGTTTGCTACAAATTAATGAACAGAAATGGATTTTATCAGAACAGAAATGGATTTTATCAAAACAGGAAGTAGCCCAAGGAGGTTTTCTACAATAGAAAATTTGGGTCGACACCAACTTCCAGATTTACTAAAAAGTTGGGACTGGAAAAGTTTGCCCCAAAAACCATATAAAAGTTCAAATTGAGAGAGAGGAAAACCCAGAGACTTTATTAAGAGGGAAACTAGCCCAAGAATTCTTCTTTATTTAGTATCAAATAATTGTGTATAGACTTGAGACCAACCTCAGAGAGAAGAAAGCATGGGGAAATATTACATTTACCTCATCAGGGATGGGAGGGTGAGACCCAGAAACTTTGTAGAAGTATTGAAGGGGATGGTCCATGGGTTTCTTCCCCTCAGGCAGTGGCAGGGAAGGGATGAGAACTTCACAGATGGAAGCCAGAGTTTGGATCTGAGCTGGGGAGAAGCCATGACTAGAGCTACACAGAATGCTATCCCCTCTAAGTAGAGGATGGCTGGTTTTCTTCCCTTCCATTTTTTCTTTCTTTGCTTCTCTCTCTTCCATTGGTGTTAGAATTCTAGAGAATTGGTTTGTTAGTAAAGGTTTAAAAGTCTGTATATTTTATTCACAATTTTGGAGCTTTCTACGAAGAGAAGAACCAATGAAAGAAAGCAGCTATCCCGCCGAGCATACGGAACGATCCGTTATACTTATCTTTCAGAGAAATATTTTTCATGAATTTTTGAATTTTGATTTCGGTGGCTAACCATTTTTTAAAAGGATTTTTCTAATTTTACTCCTTAGGCACATGTTAATGTTAAAGGTATAATTAATTAATCTTTTAATCTTTAATTTACATTAAAAAAATACAAAGTTAATATTAAGTTTAGTTGGACTATCATATTTTTAATTAAATAATTAATAAATTAAATATATATTTTTATCTTAATTGTACAATAAAAGATAATTATCTTTCATTTTTTATTTATTTCACCTGTATGTTATGTAATTTGAATTTAAGAATTTTTACTTTCAGGGATAAAAAATGACCAATAAATTACTTAAGTCGTTGCTTAAATATTAATTTTTTAATACAAATTAATGGTTAAAAAGTAACATATGATGGAAGAGCACATAACCAT